AGATATATGACTGCCTGGAAGAGGAAACAAAGCTTCAAATTTGATTTTACTTTGTTCAAATTATTAAATAATTACAGTAAAAATAATTTTCTATATTCTAGTTCCTTTTTTTTTCTTTTATTAGCAACAAAAATATCATGTTCTTGCAAAGATCTTTCAGGCAAAAACCGATAAATTTCTGTTTTCAAGCAAAACCCGATAAATTAAAAAAAAATCAAAAATAAAAACAGTAAAAAAAGATAATAAGAATAAGGTGTTTTGGCATAATTATTGTAATTTATAACATCTAATTTGTTTATCTTTATTAGACAACACCCTAATATGGGTTTTTATCATTTCAGCATTTATTTAACTTTGTATCGAGACCTGAAGATGCTTTGCATATTGTAGAAAGCGAAACCGGTCGTCTGATAGTTAAATTAAATTGATTGTGAGTAAGTCTTATTTATTATTTCTTTACCTATTTGAAATGGACTCACACAAGCAACACATTCATGACATGGTTCAAAATTGTGTTTTTATTAATTTTCCCTTATTTTGCGATGTTTTTTTATACACGTTTTCCAAAACTGCTGATAACGCGGCAAATTTGGTTCTTGCATCTGGGAGGCAAAACCTCTAGGCTCTGCCCTGCTTGTCGAGTCACAGTTTGTAAAGTTGTTTAAATAATCACTCTCTGGGATAAATAAATTGAATAACTAACTTATAAACAATTTGGTCGATCTGATTGATATTTAGCAAAATTTAATAACTCATTAATTGCCATAATTTCAAGTAGCTATATTACAATGTCGTTATGCAAAAAATAAAGTTATTTAAACATTTACAAGTTCGGTAGTATGTTCGCAAAAAAATACGTGATTGTTTATAAAAGTTTCGTATCGTCTATACATGTAGTTGTTTATCCCCACACAGTTAACAAAACAAGAGATTGTAATCTCTAAACGAAACAATACAGAATACAGGCCTGCTAATAATCCCTCAAATGGTCGAGGTTGGCCGACGTCCGTCTACGTCCGGTCCATTTCAGAGAAATTGCACAGACAACCAGACAGCCAAATAGATTGGGTACCTACCTCTCTAACCATGTGACAATAACCTTCCTCATCTTCGCTCTCATCTCAACAACTGTTTGAAAAAGTCCATTCTACTACTTGGTGGCTGCGCCGCACAATGGTCTTGACTTAATTTAAAATAGACGTCCACACACGAGACACGAGTTGATTTTTATCAAAAAGGTTTTTAATCTCCTCAGTTTTAAATAGTCCTCAGTTTTTTTGTAATATGTCCTATGAATTATTTATATTTTATAATATTATTTATATTATTATATTTATATATTATTTATATTTTATAATATAAAATAAAAACGATTTTATTTAATATGATGGCATATATCATTTTATATCTGCCAGGTACAGCGGGCTAAAATGATTGATCCTGCTAAAATAACTGCTAAATAGGCCGGTCGGAAGAAGAAGAAGAGAGCTACCTAAAAATATATATCAGGACGATGTGCAGGACTATTTAAGGGAGATTGGAGTAGGGGGATGGAGAAGACACACTCGACAGGGAAGGATGAAAGAGAAACAACTTAAAATAATCTGCTATGCAGACGACGCAATACTACTCTCTCAAATTGAAGATGATTTACAATTTATGCTGCACCAATTTAATATAATCGCCAGAAAATTTAACATGTTAATTTACCCAAAAAAGACAAAATACATGGTTAGTACAGCAAATTTACTAAGATGTAAATTCAGTGGCGGCTCGTGGCTTGAGAGACAAGGTCGGCAAGGTATTTTTTGTCTCCTCAGATAGGTATACCGTCTAATAAAGATTTCAATCATCATAGGAGATTTTTTGTTTTCTTGTTTTTTGTTTTTTTTTTCTATAAATTTAGAACCTAAACATGTTTATAAATTAACTCTAGTCTACGTTGTTTGGAAGTAGCAAAATGGGTAATAACGTCATCGTAAAATTTATTAGAGTTTTGGAGAGATTTTAAAAGTTTTTTTTCTATTGACATTTGAGACAAGCTTGACATTCTCTCTTGTTTCGTGATATTTCGACAATAAGTTTTGATTCTTTTAAGGCAAGAGAAATCTCGTTCATTTGAGCCAAATGTTGGTGGTAATGAGAGAATTAATGACAATAATTTATTAATGTCGGTAACAGTGTGTTGTAATGAATTGCAGTATATAAAATTATACATATCTTGTAACTTATCCCATCTTCCGAAAATATTTGGATCAGCATATAAAACTTTTAATTCATTTTCTAATTTTATTTTATTAAAGAATGATGGATAATTTTTAATTAACCTGTCTAATAAATATCTTGGAAATTCTTTGGCGTAACTTTTAAATTTTGAATCGTCAAAGAGGTCAAAAATTTGCAAATCTTTAAAATTCGAAAAACGAGTATCTATTTGCATAATAATAGTATCAAAAATTTCAAAATATACTCGTTTTTCGAGATCTGTTTCTGTGTCATGCCTTTGTCTTTTTTTGGGGGTTCGGAAATATCAAGCGAGTCCAAAACGTCACTGCGTATATACTGGAAATTACTATCATTACGAAAATCTCTGAGATTTTGCACCAGTCTTGTTATTCTATTTTTGGAATGAATAATGTCAGTTAACTGATTTTGAACAACATTGAATATCAAATCGGTTTGGGTAAACACATTCTTAAAAATAATTAAAAGTATGTTAAAAGAGTAATCATTTAATAAAGTTTTCAAACCGATTGCTTCACGGATCGAGATATCATCACTTTCAAAATCGTCACATTCAATAATAAAATCAAAAACTTCCAAAAGCTGTTCACGAAAATCTGCTACAGTGAAAACTAACCGACATTTAAAATTCCATCGCGTCTGACAAACTGTTGGCATTTTTTTCGAAACAAACCGTTCTAAAACATTAGTCCGTTTAGGAGAGCTTGAGAAAAATGAAGCAAATCCACTTAAACTGGCAAAAAAAAAGACGACATTCTTAAATTTTTTTACATGTATCTTGCAAAACTAAATTCATTCTATGCGCATGACAATGAGTAAATAAAGCTTGCGGTGCAATAGTTTTAACTTTTGCCTGGAGACCATTTAATTCACCAGACATCACGGCAGCGTCGTCATAAGTTTGCCCTACCAATTTATTTTTGATATCAAAAAATTTTAATCTGTCCTTTAAAACACCAAAAATATGTTCTGCCTTATGGCTTTTACTCACGTCTGTAAAACCTAAAAACCTCTCGTAGATATTACCACGTAACGCGTATCGAACAACAATTGATAATTGTGAATGACATGATATGTCGGTAGTTTAATCTACTTCTAGTGAAAAGCAAATGGTTTCCTGAATCTCAGATTCAATAACGTTACTCAAAATGTAACTAATTGATTCTATTAATTCATTCTGGATTGTTTTAGATACACCGCTAAATGTCTTCGAATCAGAAAGTAAATTAGAAAATTCCAAATCGTATTTCTTAAACATTTTTATTAGTTCTCTATAATTACCTTGATTTAACGAATGCTCCGATTCATTGTGTCCCCTAAAAGATAATTCCTGACAACTTAAAAAAATTACAATATCAATTAAACGACGTAAAACTGCGTGATTATTTTTTACAATTTCGTTATGTTTAATAGCATTCACGTTGGGCATTATCTAATGAAACATAGATATTTTGTTTTTCAAATAAATCTAATTTAATCTGGTTGTAAGTATGATCTTTCGAAATATGTAAAGGCGAAATATGAATATACAAAGGCTTAACAGAAAATGGCGAAGAAGATATAATTTTTAATTAGGTATACACAACATACCAGGATCCTGATGTCAAAACATGCAAAAAATTGGACGGTTATGGTATGGAAAAGATGAAATATCCACCAAAATAAACAAAACAATTTTCAGTAGGAAATAGAAACAAGGGGAAGACCGAAGCTTAGTTATAATAATCAATTAGAACAATATATTGTAATTTTAAAAATAAAAAATTGGAAAAACAAAGCGGGAAATAGCGAAGACTTAACATGGTCATTCTGCCAATGGTGATGATTACTTTTTATACCTATACAAGAAGAAAGACAAAAGAGTGTCCGAAAAGTAGAGACATTCTCAAATGTCATACGATTTTATTAAAAATTATATAGTGTAAGGGGGTATGTTGTTATTTTCCCTTTAATTATCGTTGAGTTCGTTCAATTATTTTTTACTTAGGGAAAGAATAGATTTTCAATGTTAACAGGTATTTATTTAGCACTGTTCTCACATGAACAAACTGAAGATTAACAAGACCTAGATAAAAACAAAAAAACATGAAGCGTTATCACCTCGTAAGTAAAAAAAAACTAATAATCCGTATTCCGTATGGCCCTTTTTCTAGTAGGACGCATGGCACTACATCAATAAAAATACAGGACGAAGAGCGACCTACAGGGTAGGCAACATACACAACACATTGCAACACAGGTTACATACACAGGTTGCATACACTTAGGACATTTTTATAATATTGCTGATAATGTCAGAGGAAACTACTGGTGAATACCTATCAATGTGGTTTCTAACGATTTTAAGTAATCAGAGAAATTTTTTATTCTTGATATGTTTCTCCCAATAAGAAATAAATTTAAAAACTTTACATTGAAATGAAAACTTTTGTTCTAATTGGTATATATTATACCGATATAATATAATACAAAGTACAACAAAAGTTTTTATTTCAATGTAAAACTTTTTAACTATTTTTTTGGTATACAGCCAACTCTCCCACTTAAAGAAAATAAATTAGTTTTTGCTAAGTTTTTTCCAGAAGTATAAAATATTATTTCTTAATAAGTATTAAATGTTGCCTACCACCTAGAAGTAAAAGTGGGTGGATATTATTCCTAGCACCGTTATTTTATTTATTATTTTGTCTAAGTTATTTTATAATATTTATTACCAATATATCGATAAAACAAAGTTCAAATTTAGAACAAACCATTTTATCATTACACTTATTTTGATGATTTCTAATTAAAAACTTTAATTTAAGAATTTTTGGCGTTCCCGTAGTTACTTTTATAGACAGAATCATAATAGTCGAGCAGCTCATAGATAAGAAGGTGGAGCAGCTGATTTGAGGTTATGTTACGGCAACAATAATGTCTTATTAATTCCGTTCTTTAATTTATAAAAATATATATAATAGTAACATACAACATGAATTTTCTCTCCTTACGTGAGTAGTCATATCATTCTATATTCAAATTTGTGTTGAACTGTAACATTTAAATTAACTATAACTAATACAGTAACTTGTCTTGTAGAATGTCTTTCTACCCTATTAATCTTGTCCTAAAAAATGATATTTTTCGATCTTACAATAGTAGTTAATAAGTTTTAGATTTGTATTAATGGAGATACAGTTCCACTCCTTCAATTCATGTTCTTTTCGTTATTAATTATATTTTCATAGTAGCATTCCTTCCATGTGAATGTCGTTGTGACCTGATCTTTCCTTTATCTTAAAAATGGAATATTACTTCTGATGATGTGTATACTTTGATTATATCTTCATTGCTTAGTATACTCTTTCTTTGTTTTAATGATTCAAAAGTATTCAAAGAAATTACGAACAACAAGCATTCAATGAGGAGATGCATGGTAAAATCAGCCAAAAATGGTTGAAAAGAAATTAAAAAAAGGAAGAAAACGTGGTTCAATAATGAATGTTTAACAGAATGAGAGCAGTGAAGTAAATTATGATTAAGAGTACCGAAATTAAGATCAATGCTGAAAGTGAGTACACAGAACAACAAAAAAGAACTAAACAGATATTAAGAGAATAGAGGGTACTATATTATGAAAAACTCTTCAAAGAAATTGAATACAATTACAAAAATACAGATATAAGAAATTGTATCAGGGGGTAAATAAAAATAATGAAAAGAAAGGATATTGATTAAACCTCTAATTATAAAAGACCATAATGGAAAGGAGAAGAATGGTTAATTAAGCCATGAGCTTACTAGACTCTACACACTAATTATTATTAAAAGTATCCACACTGTCTTTCCTATTCAGACTCATTAGGTTAAATTTATTAATGTTGCACATATCAATATTGTAGAAATTTTTCTGATACAGTTGATCTGTTCACATATTTCATACTTTCTGATTAATTCTGTCATTTAACAATATTTCTATTTTAGGTACCGTGCAGACTACTGTTTTTCAAACTCTACAAAACAATGTAATCAGATCAGCCCCTGAATCTTTAAATATAATACAAGCCAGGTGCTATGCAGCCAGGAAAGGTACCAGGGATCGTAAGAAGAAGGCTAAAGTAAAAGTGGAAATCCAAAAAGTTGGATTTATACCACACAATCAAAGAAACAGAGAGCAGTAAGTAGTTTGTTGTCATTATAGCAACATTATCTAAATTAAAAACTTCTTGCTGAATTTTGTAGGTTCTTAGCTAGTAGGCCCAAACTAAAATTTGATGATTCACAAATGAGAGATCCAGTAGATGATGTGTTTGTTTGTAAATACTACAAATGGGTTGTGTATCAGTTCCAAGAGGCTGTTAAAGCTCATAAAGAAACTCATCACCCTGAAATGTATAACAGACCTGACACAGATTTGCATGTCACTGTAGAATTAAATATGGAGGGTGAAAAGAAGGTAAGTTGAAGTTTAATAAAGATTATGAAGAAACAGTATGTGTCCTTATGATTTACTTACATAAGACAATATAACAACTGCTTTAAAAATGGGTGAATATCACCTGAATACATATTTATCTAGAGAGCAAGGGCATAGCCAGGATCAAAACTAGGTAGGGGACAAGCCTTCATTGTAACATTTTAATACAGAAAAGGTGAATTAAACCAAAATTTTAGGTAAATTATATAGCAGTGCTTTATCACCAAGCTATTACAATTATTGGCCTGAAAAAATTACTTTTTTTCTAATTACGTATCTCATTACTAATAATATCATTTTTCTTGGATTTGAAGAAGAACTCTTGTTTTAACCCAATCTTGATTTCCATTGATGAATTTCTGATGGACTCTTATTCACACTCAGGTAATCTGTCCTTTGTACCTTTTAGCCAGGTCTTTACTCTTTGAAAGTTACTGAAAAATTGTTCAGAAGTAGCTGAAGTTGATGAGAAATCACTTAAAATGAGAACTGCATACCATGTTGCAGAGATAAAATCTTAGCTTCCTTTAAAAGTGGAGTCATTTAAATATCCTTTAAATTATCTTCTTCTAAATACCTCTTTTTCCAAAGATTATACCGTAAAACTAATTGTACAGAGATGTCACCACCTCATAAGACTCCATGATAGATTTTCATTTTTTCCAAATATTTTGAAGTCTCTTATCAATAGACATTTTACATATACACTTGTATAATAATATAAACATATACATTTTCTGTCTTTCAGACTCGATTGCTAGATAATTTTACAAGAACTGTTGCAATTCCCCACCGGTTCGACCAAGGACAGATCCCATCTGTAGCTGCTTTCGCCAAAACCCCGGAAATACAAAAACTTGCCGTTGATGCTGGTGCCCAGCTGGTCGGCGGTGTTGACATGATCAAGAAAATTCAAATGGGGGAACTCAATCTTAATGACTTCAAATATATAGTTGCCCATCCTGAAATTCTTCCAGAAATGGTGGTTCTGAGAGGTTTGCTAAAGAAGAGGTTTCCTAGTCCAAAAAGCGGTAGTTTGGATGTTAATCTCGGAAGTGCAGTGGAAAAGTTTCTATATGGTATTCATTACACAGCTGCTAAGGATGAATACGAGAAGGATTATGGTTCAGTTCAGACAGTTATTGGATCAGTAAGTTATCTACTCATATGAATTATTTATTTTATTTATCGTATCTACCAGATCAGTTATTATAGTTAGGTAGTTGAACAAGTTGACCAACAAGCTGATTTAGTACTGTATGCCATTATGTATTTGTGAACCATATTAATACACAGCACTATTTGCCAATGGAAAAGTGTGTACCTATAAGGTGCCCAGCATGCTGATGTAGTCAATCATTGTATGTACCTTGCACAAGCTTAATATTTTATATAAAGATTTTAATCAATTGTCCTTCTAGACCAATTTTGGAAATATAGCTTATTATTTTTTGGCAAGGATGTTTCAAAATAATACACTATTTTAAGTAAAAAAAAAAATAGTTTTTTTTATTTAAACAAACATACCTGCATCAACCACTAAGGGTTATTAGCGGGGGGACATACACAAGCAGTCAGATACATATTGTTACATAAAAAAAATATTTTTGACAATCTGGTATATAGTTTAGTCATTTTAAGATAACTTAATAAAGATTGTAAGTTTGACGTTAGTACACTTTTTAAATTGTCACTAAAGGCACATGCGATTCTTTCGTTCTGGTACACTGGGCACTCTACAATGATATGTTTCTCTGACAACTGTGTGTTGCACTTGGTACACATCGGAGCAGCCTCCTGATTGAAGATATGCTTATGGGTAAGGAAAGTATGTCTTATTCGGAGTCAGTTGATGATGACTTGGTCTTTTCTATTACTTAATAAGATAAGTTTGGTTCCTACTTGCCTTGAACATTCTTTGAGTTTGTTGGCAGTGTGATTCCAAGTAGTTTGCCACACTCTGTACATGTGGGCTTTGATATTTGCTTTGTGATCAGTCCAAGGCATTTGATTTATGATAGCAATACTTTCTTCGGTTGTTGCACTGATTGCCAGAGATTCCACTTCCTCATTACCACTTATTCCCATATGGGAAGGTAACTAGATGAAGGAAATATCTTTTTGTTGAGTCTGTAGATAAGATAACTCTTCTTTGATCTTGAGAAGTATGGCGTGAGTTGTATATAGCTGTTTTATTCCAAGTAATGCACTCATTATATCAGTGATGATAAAAAATTTGCCTTCATTGATAGAACCACATTTTTTCATGGCCTGGTGAATTACTGTAAGTTCTCCGGTATATATACAAAAATTTGTTGGGATTAGTATGGTAGATTTGACGTTTTCGTAGATGTAGGCTGCAGCATGGCCTTCATTACATTTGGAAGCATCAGTGAAGATTTGATGGGTGGTTGGGTATTTGTATATTACATTTTTATAAGCTTGCTGTATAAGGAAAGGCTGTGTGGAATGTTTTGGGAGTTCTTTTAGAGACGTGTCTACTCTTGGAGGTTTGATCATTCAAGGAGGACCAATACGTTTTATTCGCTCAGGAAATGTTAGTTTATTTATTGCAATGTTTCTGTAAAGATCGGACGATATATTTGTTCTGTAAAGTATTTTTGAGTAGGTTACGTTGCTGTTTTTGGCTGAAATTCTGGCAACGTAATTTCGTGATAGGAGTTGCCTTCATTGGCTTAAGGGCAGTTCATTAGCCAGAGTTTGTAAGCTACTTACTGGACTAGTTCTTGTGGCACCTAAAACTAATCTCAAGCACATATTTTGAATGTATTCAAGTTTTTTTAAAGATGTTTTGTTAGCAGTATCGTAGCATAAACAGCCGTAGTCTAGTTTACTTCGTATTAGTGATCTGTATAGAGTAAGTAAGGTTGTTGTATCTGCCCCCCAAGAGGTATTTGACAGCATTTTTAGTAGATTAATTCTGGATTGGCAAGAACGTTGCGGATTGGTTATGTGGCTTTCCCAGTTTAAGTTACGTTCAAAAGAAAGTTCTAAGAAATTTATTTCTTCTGCGTGTTTCAGGACAACCCCATTTAGTGTTAATTGAACATTAGGATAATTTTTTCATTTGCTAAAAATAAAATAACGTGTCTTTTCACTAGAAAATATAAAACCCGTGTTTTGCGACCAGCTTTCAATTGTGTGTAAGGTAGTTTGCAGTATATGTGTTCCCAGAGTTACATTGTTTGTTTTTGGATAAATGACTAGTCATCTGCATATAGGCTAGTAAATACAGGTAGTTTTATTTGATGTATAATACTATTTATTGCAATTAGAAAGAGAGTAGGACTTAGAGTAGATCCTTGTGGAGTGCCGTTTTGAAGTACTCGTCTAAAAGAGAAAAATAGTTTATCCATCAAATAAAAACACATCTTCAATACATATTAAGATGTTTAGATTCTAAATTTCCTAATGTATTTCAGTTAAACATGGATCCTAAACAACTGGAAGAAAATTTTGCAGCACTAATAAGAGATGTTTACACGATGAAACCAAAAAGGAGCGGTTCTTTTATAACCAGGTACAATGTTCTTATATATTTAATAAATTAGATTACACTAATTTATTATCTTGAATAGGAAATACTTCTAGTATACTTATTCTAAGATATCAGCAAGGCTGTTATTTTACTTTATTGTATCCAAATGAAATGTTAAAAAAAAAAATGAATTGTTTTTGATCGCTATAGTTCATATCAATTTTTCATTGTATTTATTTGTGTTTTTAATAATTTTAGGTGTCTTTTATGGACGCCGTACTCTTCAGAGAAGCTTAAAGTCAATCACGAGGTATTTATAGAAAGCGATGCGTCGTCGAAGCAGTCTACAGTAGATGAAGATGAAGAAGTAGAAGAACGAGTGACGCTGTAAAGACTATATTTGTTATATTATAGTCGGTACAATGTTGTGATCGTTGTAATATATGTTTTAAAACATATGATCCATTTGTTATGTTAACTAATCAATTTTTAAAAATATATCAGTGAATTTTATTATTTAAAATAAACTGTTAAACATTAAATTATGGTCATCATTCGTATTATAGGAATTAAACCAAAATGTAAGCCAAACTTACGTTGGTTCTAAGAATTAGAAAATGGCTAATATTACAATGGAGGTTTTTTATTCTTCTCTTTTATTATTATTTTTGAGTTATGATACATAGTTTACAATAGTGAAGAATAACAATATCATGTAAATTATATTTTTGTTGGCTAAGATGGCTGAAAGTATAGAAGAACTACAAACTTTACTAGATGCAATAAATAGTGAATGCATTCAAATCGGACTTGAGATCAACACAGATAAGACCAAATTTATGATAGTATCAAGGAGTCCAATAAATAATGAACAACTAACCCTTGGTGGACAGCAAATAGAGAGAGTGACAATATATATATATATATATATATATATATATATATATATATATATATATAATATATATATATATATATATATATATATATATATATATATAAACTGGGAGCTTATATCAACACAGAATTGGATCCAGATCAAGAGATCAGGGTACGAATAGAAATAGCAAGGGCAGCGTTCTGCAAATTGAAGCAATTGTTCTGTGACAAAAATCTGAATACTGCGCTGAGAATGAGGTTTGTTGAATGTTACGTCTGGTCCCAACTATTGTACGGGGTAGAAACATGGACGTTAAAAGTTAAGAAGCTTGAAGCCTTTGAAATTTGAATATACCGGAGAATGTTGAAAATTCCATGGACTGCCAGGGTCACCAATGAGGAAGTGCTGAGAAGGATGGGTTGAGGCAAAAAATTGTTGAGAACAATAAAAGTACGCAAGACTGCATACCTTGGACACATACTAAGGAATGATAAATACCTATAGTCTTCTGCAGGTCATCACGGAGGGTAGAGTCGATGGCAAAAAGGAAATAGGTAGAAAGAGGAAGTGATGGCTGCGTAATATTCGAGTCTGGACAAACATGACTGTAGACGAATTATTCCACGTTGCAAAAGACAGAGAAATTTTTAGAAATGTGATCGCCAATCTCCGTTAATTTGACGACATAGGAAGAAGATATTTTTGTTAAACAACTGTGTTGTCTTTAGGAGACTATTACGGCCTTGAGTCGGCTAGAACAGTTCAGAAGTTCTTTTAAACTGTGGGTTACATTGCTGGCAATGCGTGTGGTCTGGTAGTGTTGACATTAGGTGAGAATGTGCTTGACTGTAATATGAATATGGTTGCAGTGGGAGCTTAACGATTAGAGATCTTTTCTGGAATCAGACAGCAAATCTCAGAGTTGAAGGTGAACACACTGACTATGTGAAAATCATGCATGGAGTGAGGCAAGGCTGTATTTTGTTTACTCTAATCTTCAATCTCTACTCTAAAAGAATATTTATGGAAGCTTTTAACGAAACTGAAAAAGGTATTTTACTAAATGTTTACCGGCTAAACAACATCAGATATGCAGTTGACACCATAGTATGGTGTCAACTGCAAACGGTATCTACGTTAAGAAGACAAAGCTTATGATAATTAGCAAAAGAAGGATAAAAGGTCAACTCTACGTCAACCAATCCCCTGCGGACGGAGAAACCCTGGAAGAAAAGGTGAGAAAAACATCAATTTAACAAAAAAACTTGCGGCTGAAGACACTTGAGAGGAGGTGCAAACCGAAATTCCGATGTTTTCTTTATAAGAAAAAAGTCATAGCCATGGACTATAATAACAACCTTTCAATGCCTAATATTACGAGTAACGACGTGTGTTATAAAAGGCAGTTGTCTTTCTACTCCTTTAATGTCCATCGACTTAGTGATAATGATGTTGTTATGTACTCGTACCCTGAGATAGTAGCTCGAAAGGGTGCCAATGAAGTTTGCTCATTTCTGTATGACTATGTGACAATCCAGCTTCCTCCTGAAGTTCATAACTTAGTGATTTTCTGTGATTCGTGTGGAGGCCAAAATAAAAATTGGACGGTATTCCGGTTTCTACATTACTTAGTCCATAAAATAAACAGATTTGACTCTATTTCTGTGACCTTTCCTATAAGAGGTCACTCTTACATGGAGACGGATAAAGATTTTTCAGAAGATTGGGAAGCAGTGTTACGATTGGCTTGTCAAAAACCTGTGCCTTATAAAGTAGAAGTGGTTGATTACTACTTGGTGCATAGCTGGGACACTTTTCTTGCACCTATGTGTGTTACAAAAGCACCTTTTAAAACTAGACCAATAAGAGAATTAAGCATTTCAAAGCAACATCCCAGACTAATATATTTCAGAGACACTTACAATGGAACAATGGTTTCGGCTATCATTAACAAAAAAGTGACTGGTAGGTAGCCACCGTATACTGGAAAAGAATTCGTTTTTCCTTCTCGATCCTATACTGAGTCACTGCCCATTCCAATGGCAAAATACAATACAACTGATATAAGAATAGACGTGAGCTGCGCGTAAATCGGAGGAGAGATACGGAATTCGTTTGGGGCTTAAATAACAGTGTTGCCACGTTTTGGTTTTGAATATGGTAACTTCCATCCTCTGCATTACACAATGAACTTAATTATAAAAGACGTACGATGTTTTAACTTTTAGCTATTTTATTTTGTTTCGTGAATTTACTCAATAAAATCTTTAGTGTTTCTAGAACTAATCAATCTATGACAATATAAATAAACTTATTATACTATCAAAGAATCACAACTGAACCAATTTTTTTAAAAATCACAAGAGTGGAGTTAAAACTTCTCCAATTAACTTGTTTTCACACCACCCATGAGGTAAAGTTATCGGTGCGTTTTATTTTTATGTGGTGTCCCCAATAGGCCTAATCCACAATGCAATATTCATTCAGAGTCTATTGTCTATTCAGAGATTGTATTATTATAAGAGTAATTAGTTTTTTTCACAACACCATCATATTATGTTGCTTGTTCCACATGTCCACTTTGAACTGCATTTTCTCTCCTTTGAAATATACATACTCATTTCATCACGGAATTTTGCGAAAATGTCAGAAAAAGATATCATAGAAGTCATTTCTCTGAAAAAAACATTGAAACACACAAATTGGATATTACTTTATAGACTTATTAAATCAAATCCTCATCGCTGTCATCGGTGACTGTGTCTGAGAATATATCTTCGCTATCAGAATCTTCACCTAAATTAATAATACATGATTCTATGGCAGCATCAAATGATGGCTCCTTTGAAATGAAATCATCCTCAATAGTTTTCACTTTGTCTACAATTTTTTTCCATTCTTCTGCGGAAAATACTTCAAAAAACGCATCCGACAATTTTTGAATAGAATTAAAAGTGAAATCTACATTTCGTGTTCCAACATAATTTTTTAGTGCTGCCCAAACAAGCTCTATCGGGTTTAAATCTGGATGATATGGTGGGAGCCTTAATACGTCATGTCCGTTATTTCTAATAATGGAATCAACAGCAAATTTAACATATTTAGGTTTATGTAATTTTATAATGGCATATAAATCTGGTCTGAGCATGTTAGCAGGAAAAGGAATATTTCTAGCTTTTAGCCAATCTATCATTTTACTCTTTGTTGATGCGGATGTTGGTGCTTTATCCTCTTGAGTATTATGATAAGGTGCATTATCCATTACGATGACACTGTTGGGAGGCAGATTTCTCAACAATTTTTCTTCTAACCACTTTTTGTAGTTGACAAAATTCATATCATCATGATAATCACCCGATTTTGTTTGGGACTTCCATCTCACATAAGAGTCACCGACAAAACCTGCTTCGTTCCCTGCACCCACAATGATTAAACGTTGGCCCTTAGAAACAGGTTTTTTAAGCCCACTGTTCGTTTCATCAGTCCAACTATTACTGCGACTATGACTTGACAGTAAATACGTTTCATCGGTAAACACAATAAATCTTTTTTCGTTTCTAAATTGTTTAATCTGTCTTAAATACTGTAATCGTAGGTGTCTTATATCATGTTTTTCTATCAAAAGCTTTCGATTATTTTCTGTTTTTTTCCAACGAAATCCGAGATTCCTAATTTCCAAACGCATACTCTCCTTGCCTCCTTTATAATCAAATTCTTCAACAAATCTCTTATGAATTTTATTTACAGTTGGAACTTGTTTTTCAGTTATATGAAAATTAATATTTGCCGACGTAACAGACCTTGTTCAACTGTGTCTAATTTTATTTTTGAAGATTTTTTCCGCCTCTTATTAGGAGTGACAAAACCGGATATATTTCCTGCTGCAATTTCCGGCCCTCCTTCGCAATATTTTTGATGCTACATATAGAAACTCCTGAAAATGCAACCAAAAATCTCAGATTATTTACCATTCTTTTTATTAGATTATTTACCAAATCACCTGTCATACTGGCCACACGCTCTTGTACTTTTTTAAAGTCAATAATACATTTATCAGCAGCTGCTTCTCGTTGAGCGAATTTTAACACAGAGTGTATTATTTCACGAGCTTGAGCATTCAAAATCTTTCGCTTCACTTTACACTGTTGATTCATTTTTATATTAAATGAACAATTATAATATTCAAAATCACTATTAATAAAAAATATTAAAAATTTAGATTTGACACCAAACTTGTCAACGTCGCGAATCGCTTCTATAGTAAAACTATCCACGTATACAGCTAAGCGGTTCTCGATCAACTGAGCTCTCGGACCGGTACAATATTTGAAATCTGCTAGCGCGCGACGTCTACTCCTATATCAGTCGTAGTGTACAAAGATCTCCAAGTTTGAAACAAATTTTGTTCAGAAAAAGGAAAAATGTATTTTGATCAGCTAAAAAATGACTTATTTTTTATTTTAAAATGTTATTGATTCATTTAACAGATAATATTAATGTTTTTAGCTTTAGTTAAGTTAAACAAGTCTAGTTCTGCTTATTTTTTTCTTTCGTTGAATTCATATTATATTATTTTGTCAATTACAGCGTTTTTGCCTTTTCCTCCAGACCTTTGGTTGTTTTTTTTTAATTTCTCTCGTTACCTACTGTACATGACAATT